AAAAAATTAAAATTTGAATTTTTTAAACGACCTCGATGGACAAACAGCAAACCCGAAATTTGTAGATCTCAAAAAGTTATGAAACTTTGTAGTTGATAACTTTTTGATTTAAAATCATCTTGTCATGGAAAACTACGTTTGAATTTCTAAAATTTGAAATTTAAATTTTGTAAACGACATCGGATGGAGAAACTACCAAAATGAAAATTGTAGATCTCGAAAAGTTATAAAACTTTTAGTTGACAATTTTTTCATTGGAATTCGTATAGGATCCCAAATACTCATTTAAAAATTAGAAGAACATAAAATGGCTAGGACGAAAATCTCATTTGGAGACAAACAACTTGCAGGTGGAGTGGTTAGGGGCCGAAGACGCAAAGCAGGATGACAGGGGTTCGAGTGTCGGTGGCCACGAAGCACGCGTTTTTCGGGCGAAAAATCGCTTGACTTGTGACTTACAACGCGCGCCCGTGTGGCTGTCCAGTGGGGCCTCTCCCGGTATTAAAAATAATTCCCTATTTTTCAATGAATTTTTTGGCTTTCCTAGAAACCACATCACTGCCGGTTCACATCACTGTCGGTTTATAAGAACCGACAGTGATGTTAATCCCACATCACTGTCGGTATACTACTGGCGGTTCAAAATCCAGCAGTGACGGAGGTTTTTAAACCGGCAGTGATGTCAAGATCTGGTAGTGAGTTGTGCCCTACAGTGCCTGTCTGTGTTTTATTCGCACCCGTCCTGCTAGAAAGTCCACGGCATCACATCCGTACGTCCTGCTGGTTGTCTTATTCGCATGAATGCGTGTGTCACACCAAGGGCCATATGGCTATGAACAACCACAATAGTCAAATACTCATACCGTATCATTTCCACGTATACAGATTGATTACAACATCCAGGCATAGAAACTCTTCGACCATGTCTTCACAAAGGTGAATGACGCTGCAATATAATCGTCGTCAAACAAGCAGGAGATTGGCAAGGCTTTCGCTCGAGCCCTACCGAGTGGTAACTCCATTGATTGGGCTGATCCAGAAGAAGCAGGAGCAAAAGGTTCTTCAGCGACACCTTTAACAAGGAGACCCTCATCGCTTGCCCAGACTGATCTGAGCTGAGCTTTCGTCAGAACCTTTGCCAGTGCTCCCGTTGTCCCACCACGACAGAGGTAGGCGCGCACCGGCAAGCATCGGTGCCTGGACGGAGGAGGAATCCGGTCGCTACCACACCATGTGGAGCCATTCTCAGACTCGCCTGTGATGGTGCGAGGCACGTACCAATCGTCCATGCCTAGATGGAGGGTGGTGCCGGCCGCCGTCATACCACGTGGAGATGTTACCGGACTCGCCCGTGATGGTGGGATGCGCACACCGGCAAGCGTCCACACCTGGATGGAGTGGGGTGCCGGTGACCACCACACCACACACAGCTAGTCTCGGACTCGCTCGCAATGGCAGGAGGCATGCACCGGCAAGCATCCACGCCTGGACCGGGGGGCGGGGGGTTTGCCGGTCGCTGCCACACCACAGGGAGCCGTTCCCGAACTTTCAAGCGATGGTGGGAGGCGTGCACCGGTCGTTGTCTTATTCCCATATGTTTGTCACGCCAAGGGCCATATGGCTATGAACAACCACAACAGTCAAATACTCATGGTACCTTGTCATTTCCACGTATACAGATTGACTACTAATTAATGTGTCTGACTTATCTCTCATGGTCAATTATTTGTTCCATATAGACAAAAAATATTATAGTACCTCAGATTAGCAAGCTGATGTGTAGTATTCGAGATGACGAAATGGTTGCCTCGTGGCTAGGGATCACCCTTTTAATTTGGTCAACTCTGTTCACACGTCACGCTCACCTTAATAAAAGTACTAAAGGTAGGCTAAATTACGATTTACGATATCCTATACCATGGGCTTCCTATTATTATATGATATATGAATCAATTCTGTACTGAAACCCCTTTTTCCCAATTATGTACCAGGCATAAACACCCCTAAACACACAAATGCACTAACATCTATGGACGCATCTACTGCTGCATAAATGATTTCACGAGACATTACCCAATCATTAAAGGTGGTGGTCACAAAATTCACTCGTCTCCTAAAGTACCTAAAGATTTTCGGAGACGGACATTTTATTTACAGAGATGGTCCCAAAATGCCATCTATCAATATGGATTTACGAAGGCGCTTGAAAATTAGCCCTTCTCTCAAAATCCGCTAATAGGTTTCTTAACTGGTCCATCTTCGAAAAAAGGAGGTCATATTCAGAGGCAGACCTCTTAAGAATCCCCTCTTAGAAAAATGGATCCAGGCAAAAAAAGCCTATTAATTAACTGTACCTACCTATACATTGCAAACTTAGGGTTTGGCTCTCAGCCACCTCTCTCGTCTCTCACTTCTCACCGACGCCTCTCTCCCTCAGCGTGCGAGGCCCTCCTGCGGCACGGCGACGCATGCATGCGCAGGAGATGCGCCTCGACTGGCGTGGGGCAGGAGAAGGCCGGCTTCCAGCGGCCGATTGGTAGTGAGATTGGGGGCGGAATTGCTCCCGTGTCGTATTGTTCTTTGGTAAACACCGGTGTTTCTCCACGTGTAAGGGTCTAGGTCTACATGTTAAATTAACAGTAATCAAAGCAACCAGCAGCCGGCATGTTCGGTTGGCTGATTCGTATCGTTGCTGGTTCGTGAAGAAGTACTGCTGGCTGGTTTGTGTGAGAGAAAAATACTGTTCCGGCTGGAAATTTACGATCGTTTACGACAATCCACTAATTCGATGTAACATCTAAGGGTCAAAAGCTTAAATCAGGTGGGTAGAAGTATTTAAGATGGGAAATATTTATCAATTCTTTGGCTCCTGAATAGTAACAGTAGATAGATAGAGCGACACAACAAATGAAGCACACGTAGACACACAGCGAGGAGCATCCATTCATCAGTTCCACGTAGGACGTTATGGTTTTGATTTATTTATTCATATAAATGCGCAGCCAAGCCGGTTGACCCCGATCGAAGCCTTCCATTCCGTACACACTCCGATTCCAACAAGCCCACTTCGTCATGGACACCACCACAAACTCGTCAACGTCGTCGTCCTTGCCGGACTGCGTCATCTTCGACGTCTTCCACTACTGGGCCGCCGCCACTGCCTGCGAGCACAAGGTTCCACAGAAGCCAAATTGCTCATGGTCCGTCGTCTAGTTAGCTATTCCTGCTTGATTCCCGTGAATGTATCACATATATCTCAGAGCTGTATATCTCATCTTTGCACTAGCAGGTGCCTGGTGTGATGTTTCAGCTTTCCTCTGCATATAGCGTGGCTGCATCGGACCGTGACGACCGTTGGCGGCGGGAGCACGCCAGCAAGGCCACTGAAGCTGAGGATAACGATGTAGCCGCCGTGCACCAACGACCAGTGGCACGGCCGCCGTGCGCGTCAGCGATGTCCGTCGACCAGCGTCGCTTCATGACATTAGAGCTGTGCACGCTCGCAGCCGTGAGTAGCTGCCAAGAGTGGGAGCCCGAACTAGTCCCGTTCGTGGCGACCCTCGGCGATAAGCCGGTTGTCCCGTTAGGTCTGATGCCGCCACCGACCGACGAAGGCCGCCGGCGCCGCGTCGTGAACGGAGAGATCGACGACGACGAAGTTACCCTACTACACTGACTGGACGCGCAGCCGGCGAACTCGGTGGTGTACATCGCACTGGGAAACGAGGTTCCGCTGCGCGTGGAGCTGGTGCACGAGCTGGCCCTCGGCCTGGAGCTCGCCGAGACGCGGTTCCTCTGGGCTCTGAGGAAGCCCCGTGGCGGCGGCTGCATCTCCGGCGAAGAAGACGTCCTCCCTCCTGGTTTTCGAGAGCGCACGCACGGCCGGCTCATCACCTTCGGGTGGGTTCTGTTAGAAATATAGGCAAATTCAAGTTTAATTTAATCCGTAAAAGAGATATAAACAAAATACTCATGATATCATATATGTGCTCGTTCAAATGAGACATCTCCATGGATATAAAAATAGTGCTAACCAGTGAGACATGATACATATTATTGTCTGAATAAATCATGACCATCATATAGTTAACACTAACCAGCAAGATTGTAATAGAGATCATATAATTAACAAGACGGGTGAAGTGATTATACCCTGCAGCAGAGCTGGATGCACCAAACATGATGCCTGTCATTGTAGTCGTCCCGCTCGATGCAGTGAAGAACGGAAGCGACGGGAAATGCAACTCACGGCGGGAACAGGGAGGGGACGAAGCGAGTAGTTGTGCCGCTTGCGGAGCAACTCACGGCGGGAACAGGGAGGAGACGAAGCGAGTAGTCGTGCCGCTTGCGGACACTCCCCAAAAACGTGATGGCCGCCCTTCACCCGAGCAGATGAACTCGATGAGCGGAGACGTTCCGGAGGCTCTACTCTTCCATCTCGTGTGCGCGCAGGAGACGGAACGGGAAAACTTTTTTAGACAGCGAGAATTTTTGGTTTTCGTAGTAATCACCAGGAAAAATTGGACCAGGCGATGGAGTTAGGAATATATCCCACACACGGATGGGAAGGCTAGCGGACTCAGGAAGACTAGAAGGTAGCAGATACGATGAATGCTAGAGAAGGAAACTCCTGTATTCATTTGCCAATTAATTAATGGAATGAAAAGACCTTCTGTAACTTACGTAATCAAGGATTCTAATTGGCAAGATGGAATACTGAACGCTTGTTGCCTTCCTGCATGCCTAGTCACGTCCAAGGCCCAGCCGATCACAAGCCTCGTGTGCCTACGGTTGGTGTACTAAACCAATAAATATTATTTAATACAAATCATAGAGTTTATTAATTATTGTATATATTATATGGGCCTAGACCATAATATACCAACAGGTTCCGCAGATCAGCATACTGGCGCATGGCGCCGTCGCCCGTCGGCGCGTTCCTGACGCACTGCGGCTAGGGCTCCACCCTTGAAGGGCCTCTCTTTGCGTGCCCGCTCGCCATGCTGCCCATTGCTTGGGACCAGTGGTCGAACGCGCGGCTTTTGGAGGGCAAGAAGGTGGGAGTGCAGGTGCCGAGGGGTGAGAAGGACAGGTCGGCGTTCAGTCGTGACGGCGTCGCGAGCGCGGTGCGGCTTGGCATGACGGAGGTAGAATCTAGGAGGGCCTTTGTGGGGAATGCAAAAAAGCTCCAGGCCATTGTGTCTGACAGAGAACTCCAGGAGGAGGGATACATCGACGGATTTATTCAACAACTTACGTCTTACAAGGTGAACTGAAGGCTTCCCTTTTCGCTGTCGTATGAGAACTCCAGGAGAGATACATAGACCTGTGATGTTGTATCCTGGTCGGTGTCGTTCCAACCCCATCCTGGCCCCTCTTTTCAGTCTTCATCAGTTGTTATTTCGTATGCGATCGAGGCTTAGCCTGTATTGTTACGAGAACAGGTGTTTAAGTAGCCTATGGACTTATAATCTTGCACGATCAAGCCAATTGGTTTTGTGGTATGGACACCTATGGTGTACCTGAGGGAACGAGGTCTGTGCCGATTGATCTAGAAGCTCAATAGTGAGGACGATGGGATGCAGTCTGGGAGAGCTTGTCTTAGAGACCCCCGTGCGGGTTATTCCATTGGTGGTGTGATCTACCTTCTTAGGTCCTGTTTGTGACTGCTTATAATCGATTCGATTATAACCATCATACCGCAGGGATTTTTTGATTCTTCACTGTGCTAGTTCAATTATTTGAAGCTGTTGTCAAAAGAATCGGAAATAATCAAAGCGTTTGGTATGATTCTCGCCTTTTTTTTCACCGAGAATTGTATTGCAAGCGAAAACAAACGAGGCCCTCGTCTAGCTTGCTAGGTTGGTTGATATGATTAGAACCGAGGGTGCAAAACACTTTTACGGTAGAAATTGCAAACATAGTGCAATTCTAGATAGATATCTTGTATAGGTTTTGATAAGTATCCCTTCAATTCCAACTATAAGACGTTTTGGCTTTTCTAAATACATAAATTTTGTTTTGCGTTTAGATACACTATGTCTAGATACATAGTAAAAGCAGAGTACCTAGAAAAGAGGGAGTGGGTTTTTAGTTGGCCATTTAGTTTTTAAGTTGCCTAATTTACCATCCTCGCCTTGGGCGGCGTCATGGTCCCTACACATGGTAGCAACGGCGTGACACATTAGTGCTAGTAGGCTCTAACCCTAACACTATATTTGATCCTGCCTAGACCGCAACGTCGGCCGGGCTTACAATGCTAGCTCGGTCTTTTAGATCACAGTTGATCATAGACTTACGGATAGGATATACATGTATGCGTTCATATATGTGAGTGTAGGTACGTGTTAACGAGTGTTTTACATATGGTACTACATATAAGGCAAAAAGGGCTTGGTTCGGAGATATATTCATATCATAATAATAGGAAATCGCCTACCGTTAGCATATTTGTTGAGGTCAGTGTGAACAGAGTTAACGAAAGGGTGGGGCGCTGTGGCCACAATGGTTGGTGAGAAGTCGTCGTTGTTGACAGCGGCATGAAATTTAACAATTTGAGCCGGCGTTGAGTCGCATATGCTGCCGCGTATTTGAGCCGGTGTTTGAATTTGGTGTTGGAGTGCTACACATCATTATAAGTCCCGCTACGAGAGAATGCACCCTCACTGCCCCCCAGATCTGGACATCACTGCCGGTTCAAAAACCCACTTCACTGCCGGATTTTGAACCGATAGTGGCATACCGACAGTGATGGGGGGTTAACATCACTGCTGGTCCTTAAAAACCGACACTGATCTATAGGAAACCGTGTCGGTTCCTGGCTCCACCGGCAGTGTTCAGTTGAACAACACTGCCGGTTTGTAGTGCCAACCGACAGTGACGGTTGCTTCAAGAGTGTCGGTTCTTGGCTCAAGCCAGCAGTGTTGAGCAAGCCTACACTGTCGGTTCATGGATCAAACCAGTAGTGTTGTAGTAAATATTAGTGTCGGTTCATGAATCAAACCGGCAGTGTTCTCGTAACTATCAGTGTCGGTTCATGCTTCAAGCCGGCAGTGTTGAGTAAGCCAACACTGTCGGTTTGCTTCTAACCGGCAGTGATGGTTACGACAACACTGCCGGTTTATTGCTAACCGGCGGTGATGGCCCGTTCGTATTTTATTGTTTTATAATTTATTTTAATTTATATTTTTTTGTGGAAACGGGTTTCGCTTTATATACGCTACGTAGATGACAGGTCCATCAATATTAAACACTATAAATGTTACGATTACAATTATAATGTTCTTATCCACATCTCGATCCCTCAAAATAAAAAAAATATTCTTGAACTTCACACATGCTTCTCGGACTTCTTACAATAATCTGGCAAGCCGCTCTGGGCCATACTGGTCCTTGTACTTCACGGATTGTGCAATGGAAAATACTCCATCTTTTTCCAATACCTCGGCTAAGATGAATTTTGCCAGCTCCGATTGTAGTGCGACAATCTCCATGTCTAGCAGCCTTTCGTGCTTATATTTCTTGCGCTATCGTTCAAAAAAGATGATATCCAAAGAGGAGCAGTAAATCATTTTGTTGAATTATTAACAGACATAAATGAAATGGGGATTATACATACCAACTTATCGGCTTCTTCCGATTTCCTGCCGATATAGCGAAGCATTACCCACATTACATAAAACCCGCATTTATTGTTTTCCGCCGACTGTGATAGGTACTTCCCCTCCATTTCGACAACCTTGAATGGGACCGGCGTCCCACCGATATGTCTTCTTTGGACACTGAGCAACATTAAAAGGAGAAACGTTAGAAAGCGGTATGTGTGATTAAAAAATAATAGTTATTAGGATTGCTTACTAATTCAGCACTGCCACCGGTGTATCCAGATGATGAAATGGTTTTTTCTTCGAGTCCCACACCTCGAGCAGATTTTTAGCAAGATTAACACAAATGAAGACGAAATGGTTGCTGCAATCACAGAATCCTAATTATTGAATAATCTTAACGAAAAAAGAAGCATAAAATTAAAAGCCAATAACACATACTCGCAGTTATAGGCTAGCACTATGTGGGTTTTCTTCTTCATCGTGAATTCGTTGAAAACAGCAATCAATCTCTATTTCAGGTCTTCCACGTCACATCCATAGAGGCCTAGACATGTCCTCTCATTGACTCGCATGGGGTCCAAGAAGCCTATGTAATCCCATTTGCTTTTTAGAATGCAAAATTTTGCTATACACCTACATAAAATTATGGGAAGTGCTCAAAAGTTAACAATTTGTGTCTCGAGAGAGTAGTTAATTGTAATATCGTACGTGTATGGTACTTACATAGTCCACAGCGTCAACATGTGAACATCGAGAGAGCATTTCTGGTATAGCTGGAACAAGCACTCCCACTCGACATCGAACTTCTCTTCTTCAGGATATTGGAAAACATGTGGCGAACGGATAATAACCTCAAAACCAAAGTCGTCCGTCTCTGTTGCTTGAGCCATGTAATATTCATATAACTGGCGCATATATGTTGTCAGATTTTTATACTCATGATCGGAAACCAAAAGATTGCCCCTTTCATACTTCATTGTCGGTGTTCCCGTCCCTTGTACATCATAATAGATGTTCGCGGCCTCTTCCATGGTTAAATCAGGGTTGTCTTCGACTAACTTCATAATGTTCCTTAAATCTTTATTGTGTATTTCTTCGTCTCTTGTTGTAGCGTATTTATTCTGTGTTTGCCTTTCGAATTCGGACTTCAACAAAAACGGAGGCAGTGAGGCACATAGATTGAAGAAACTAACACAATCTTCCTTCGAGATGTGTGTTGTAAATTTTTCTTTCATCAAGGTAGTAACGCTGCCACTGAACGGCCTTTTTCTTTTCTGTTGGTCCACTTTGGGAGCATTAGCGACCGAATCCAAGGACCTTTTCTGTGACTGCAAAGATATCCTTGATCTTGTTTTGGGCTGAGATGGAGGAGGAGGATGACGACGAGAATTCTGTTTTCTCGACGCTGATGAAGATGGAGTCGGATGAGGAGGAATAGAAGGAGACCTCTGTCTTCTCGGGGGTGATGGCTCCAGATGAGGAGGGGAGTGATCTCTGTTGGGAGATGGTGAGTGATCATCGCGGGTGGGCAAAGACTCACAGTCGTCCTCATCATCAGAGGACAATTGATGGTCAAGCTTAATGAAGCGCTTGCGCTAGGCCACTTGAGAGCCCTTGTTTTGACCAAGTTTTGGCCTGTCTTCTGCTATGGGGTACTCAATGGGTATCTTGTTATACTTCTTATCAAGTATTCTATCAATGGTGACATAAGCGTACCCCAGTGGAATTGGGTGGCCATTAATTGTCCCGTCTCCCGTAGGCCAGGCCTGGCCGAGCGCCACCTTGTTCTTTGTCCATTCTTGATGGATGTACAACCTGACATTGATGGGTTCAGTGATGTCATCCACCGGATGAGGCACATTCGCCTCTTCTTCGTCAAGCGGGGTCGATCCGTAGCTGCTGCGACCCCTAAACTGTGGGCCAAATGCACTAGGAGTAGGGTTTTGTGGTACTACTAACCCCTTGGACAGCAAAATTTGCTCGACTCGCGCTTCAACGGTCACCTCAATCCGTGCTTCCATTCTGTCTTCCATCTCTTTTAGTCTCCTCAAATACTCTGCCTCATGTTCTGCTCTACCCCTCGAGCGGCTCCGGTAAGTGTTAGATTCTTGGGGGAATGCTAGTTTCCAAGGAACAACACCGGTTCCTCTAGTGCGACCATGGTGCTCCTTGGTTCCGAGTGCTTGGGTGAGCACATCTTTCTCCCCATTAGAAGTGCGAGTCCCTTGCCTCACCTCCTCAGTTACCTGGGAGATCCTCTGGATGAGTTCGCTCATGGGTTGATTTGAGGAGTTAAAGCTCCTGTCCTCGGCGTGCCGTATATTTCTCCCCATATAGTATAATACCGATCTGGGCTCCCAATCGGCGGTCTCAACCTGAACGCCTTCCTCAGCAAGGCAATCCATCTTTTGAAGTTCTGCTTCAAATTCTGGCATCTTTTTGGCGTAGCCACGAGAGCCGAGATGATGAGGATTCGTCACTTTCTGCGAATTCTCCTTATTCTTCCTGCTCAGTTCTAAGTACTTCTCGGATAACATGTATTCCTTGAAATCCTGCCAGAAGTCCTTCTGCTTGCTAAACTGTCCACCATCGAAATTTGGCTCTTTATTTTGGAGGACAAAATTCTTGTACAATGTCCCCTTGAAATTCTTAAAGCATGTCCCCACATG